ATGCAGGTTTTTGCGGCCGACTGCTACTTCGGCGTGGTTGCAATGCTGCTCAATGCGCTGTCGCAGACTCAGCCTCACAGGCGCCGAGGATTCCAGAGGCCTCATGCTTGCGTACATTTTACAGGCGATTTGCCTACATTTGTACCGACATGGCCCGACATGCACACATCTTTGCGTAGGCCGATTCCAAGCCTTCTCTTGAACTGATCCGTTTAGGCGGACCAGTACCAACCCGAGCTCCCAAGCATCAACTCTTGCAGACAAACCTGCCAAATTTTGGCGATCATCCTCGTGCTCGCATGGTTGGCCTCTCGTCCCAGGGGCGATTCCTGCTTCCATCTGTGAATTGGGTTGGAGCCTTCAGAATTCGAGGATACAAATGCACTTGCCCGTTCAATCTGACAGCCCCTTCGCCTAATTTAAAGCTCTTCTGCTCAATCCCTGAAATCCGAAGCTTGGGTCCCAAACGCTACAGTCGTCCATAGGCCGGCTATCGAGTTTGAGCATGGCCTGGATTTGGCGCAAGAGGCCACAGGAAACTCTTTGACGGCATGCTTGAAGTGCAGGTTGGGCAAGATGCATGAGAACAGAGTCGAGATCAATTGGTCATAAGCTGCACTCGGGTCACGGTCGTCAGTCCAACATCTCCTGGCCAAACGAAACACACACTCAAAAGACTTCTGCGGGAACGGAACAGAGAAGTCTCGCGGCACAGCTGCGGCGGCAAACAGCTTTCGTTGAAACCCTAACCACAGCTCCGTTATCCCCGAATCCACCAGTCAGAGACTGCTCGGGTAGCGCCGGCACCTCCGGCTGCAGGTGTTCCTTAGTGCTGTCGACATGCTGGAGCGGAACAACAACACCGAAGGCCGAGACCAGACCGTCTCCTCGACACAGCATAAGGTTTGAGGTCACGGGTAGCCTGGCAAATTGAACACAAGGACCGGGTTCAGGATGAAGAGCCTTGAGACCCCAGGCCCTGAACCGCCGAAGTTCCAGCAATCCGGGCCCTTCAGCCAAGATTTCAAGATGCAAGATGCACTGAGTGTGCATTGGAGCATTCATTCGTTCCTTCAAGAAGCGTTAACCCTGGATGTTTTCAACTTCGAGCCAAGCTGGGGTTGAGCCATTGCGAACCTCCGTCGACCTCCAAATTGGCCCCAGGAATCCTGCAACCACCTGAAACCCTACAACTTAAAGCTGCAACCTCGATCCCAAGTCCACACTCTAAGCCCGGCAGCCCGAAAACAAGAGACTTTTCTGCACCCTGCCAGCTGCAAATTGGACCATCCCGCGGGAGCCCCTGGAGCGACAGCCGCCGCCCCAGGACGGCGACTGATAATGGCGTCAGCATCATCATCAGCAACAGCAAGAGCAGAAGCAGCAGCAGCAGTAGTCGTTGCAGTAGCAGTGGTGGTGGTAGTAGTACTAGTAGCAGCAGCAAGAATGATAGTAGTAGTAGTAGTAGTAGTAGTAGTAGTAGTAGTAGTAGTAGTAGTAGCAGTAGCAGTAGAAATAACACTACTACCATCAGTTAGTAGGGGCAGGAGGAGCAGTAGCAGCAGGAGCGGTAGACGGAGGACGGGGAGGAGGATGTGTTCGTGATGGTAGTTCTGGCCTTAGTGGTCGTACTATTTCTAGCATGATTGGTGAGCCAAATCAAGACAGTGGAAGCAATGCAGAAGGAGCAGCCAATGCTTGTGTGAGCAACTTTCCGGCGCCTTCCAATCGGCACTGTCGCGTTTCATGTGACTGTGCCGCAAGACGCGTCCGGAAAGAACCCAGCTTGGTAAACTTTCCTGTGTCACTGTTGTCACGGTGCCGAGTGATAGCAGGTATACGACCACGCAGCAGCCACACCCATCTTTAGGCAGTTGCGGTGACAAATCGGGAGGGGAAGACGAAGCTGAGGAGCTTGGGCAGTGTCGTAGCATGGCCAGCAAGATCATTTGGTTCTGGTCAGTTCTAGCATGATGTCCAGCAATCTCCGGCGCTTTCCAATCGGCACTATCGCGTTTCATGTGACTGTACCGCAAGACGCGTCCGGAAAACACCCGGCGTGGTAAACTTTCCTGTGTCATTGTTGCCACGGTGCCGAGTGATGGCAGGTATACGACCAGGCAACAGTCAAACGCATCTTCAGCCTGCTGCGGTGACAAATCGGGGCAGGAAGAAGAAGAAGAAGCTGAGTAGCTTGGGCAGCGCCGTAGCATAGACTGCAGTTGGTTATGGTCAGTTCTAGCATGAACCTCAATTTTCGGCGCTTTCCAATCGGCACTGTCGCGTTTCATGTGTCTGTGCCGCAAGACGTGTCCGGAAAGAATCCAGCTTGGTAAACTTTCCTGTGTCACTGTTGCCACGGTGCCGAGTGATAGCAGGTATACGACCACGCCGCAGCCACACCCATCTTTAGGCAGTTGCGGTGACAAATCGGGAGGGGAAGACGAAGCTGAGGAGCTTGGGCAGTGTTGTAGCCTGGCCAGCAAGATCATTTGGTTCTGGTCAGTTCTAGCATGATGTCCAGCAATCTCCGGCGCTTTCCAATCGGCACTATCGCGTTTCATGTGACTGTACCGCAAGACGCGTCCGGAAAACACCCGGCGTGGTAAACTTTCCTGTTTCATTGTTGCCACTGTGCCGAGTGATAGCAGGTATACGACCAGGCAACAGTCAAACGCATCTTCAGCCTGCTGCGGTGACAAATCGGGGCAGGAAGAAGAAGAAGCTGAGTAGCTTGGGCAGCGCCGTAGCATAGACTGCAGTTGGTTATGGTCAGTTCTAGCATGAACCTCAATTTTCGGCGCTTTCCAATCGGCACTGTCGCGTTTCATGTGTTTGTGCCGCAAGACGCGTCCGGAAAGAACCCAGCTTGGTAAACTTTCCTGTGTCACTGTTGCCACGGTGCCGAGTGATAGCAGGTATACGACCACGCAGCAGCCACACCCATCTTTAGGCAGTTGCGGTGACAAATCGGGAGGGGAAGACGAAGCTGAGGAGCTTGGGCAGTGTCGTAGCATGGCCAGCAAGATCATTTGATTCTGGTCAGTTCTAGCATGATGTCCAGCAATCTCCGGCGCTTTCCAATCGGCACTATCGCGTTTCATGTGACTGTACCGCAAGACGCGTCCGGAAAACACCCGGCGTGGTAAACTTTCCTGTGTCATTGTTGCCACGGTGCCGAGTGATGGCAGGTATACGACCAGGCAACAGTCAAACGCATCTTCAGCCTGCTGCGGTGACAAATCGGGGCAGGAAGAAGAAGAAGAAGCTGAGTAGCTTGGGCAGCGCCGTAGCATAGACTGCAGTTGGTTATGGTCAGTTCTAGCATGAACCTCAATTTTCGGCGCTTTCCAATCGGCACTGTCGCGTTTCATGTGTCTGTGCCGCAAGACGCGTCCGGAAAGAACCCAGCTTGGTAAACTTTCCTGTGTCACTGTTGCCACGGTGCCGAGTGATAGCAGGTATACGACCACGCAGCAGCCACACCCATCTTTAGGCAGTTGCGGTGACAAATCGGGAGGGGAAGACGAAGCTGAGGAGCTTGGGCAGTGTCGTAGCATGGCCAGCAAGATCATTTGGTTCTGGTCAGTTCTAGCATGATGTCCAGCAATCTCCGGCGCTTTCCAATCGGCACTATCGTGTTTCATGTGACTGTACCGCAAGACGCGTCCGGAAAACACCCGGCGTGGTAAACTTTCCTGTGTCATTGTTGCCACTGTGCCGAGTGATAGCAGGTATACGACCAGGCAACAGTCAAACGCATCTTCAGCCTACTGCGGTGACAAATCGGGGCAGGAAGAAGAAGAAGAAGCTGAGTAGCTTGGGCAGCGCCGTAGCATATACTGCAGTTGGTTATGGTCAGTTCTAGCATGAACCTCAATTTTCGGCGCTTTCCAATCGGCACTGTCGCGTTTCATGTGTCTGTGCCGCAAGACGCGTCCGGAAAGAACCCAGCTTGTGTCATTGCGGCCACGTCGCTCTGATAGCAGGTGTACGACCAGGCACTCGTTTGCTGTAGGCAGGGAAGGCTCGTCAGAGTTGGTAAGGAGGTCCTTGCCCTCGGCGTGAATGATACATCTCATCTATATAGCTGTCGCTTTCAGCTCAGATCGAGCTGCCAGGGAACTGCAGCGTGCGGAGTGTGGTTCCCCTTTACTCCCGGTCGTCAGACTGCTGCATGGTTTGCTTTCGTTTGCATGACGGCCGGTAGAGCTGCGTCCGTTTTGCTGACACGGGCTCTCCAGCTGAATCATCTTCAGCCTCGTCTCGACGGTTTGCACTGCTTCAGGTTTCCGCTCTTCCTTGGTCTACAGGCAAACGACTGCGCAGGCCAGCACTTCCCAAAGCTGATGCCACTGCAAACTTATGGTTTCACCACCCCACGTTGGGTTTGCTCACGTCTTGGACAGCTTGAGGCTGCAAGTTGTTTGTCTTGTCCAGGTGCCAAGTTCCGTGTCTATGTCTACGAATCGCAGTCGCTTGGTTCTATTGCGACTTGGGAGGTAGTGTGCAAACATGATATCTGTTGAACGCTCTTTCAGGCATGTGAGCTTCCTGGTTCCCAGAGAACTGTTCGAAGCGCCCTCTCGTGCACCACTCACTGTACTCCATGCATGCTCCCTCCTGGCACTTCTGCTTATCTTCATAGTACAGCATCTGGTGAAAATCATGATCACGGCCGAAACGTTGCGAGGCAGTACTCTCTAGGCTCAGTCTTCTGTTCTGCCGGACAGCCGGGATCCCCAGATTTTTCAGGTTTTTCTTTTGTTTTCGTTGGCTTGCACGGGCCACAAGAAAAGGTTGCGTAGTTCTTGTGGTGGTCGGGGGTGGGGGTGTCTAAGGGCGTCTCACGTTGTAAGAAGCGGGCCGCCTCTGCAAGTTATCTGGTGCTGTTGCTCGGGCAAAGGTGTCGGGTGATGGGTTGGAATTCGAGTCTGAATCCTCACTGACAGAAGCTGTAAGGCGCACCGGGTTTGCTTTCGAAAGCATCTATGGTTTCGTGTTGCTGGGACCGGGATGGTGATTTCTTAAGTATTCGACTCGTCAGCATCGCGTTGCAGGCCAGGCCGCGAGGCTGGCCTGGCTCTACAAACCAGTTCGCATTGCAAGCCTAAGCGCAGTGATGCAGGAGGCGACGAGCAAAATCCCCATCTCAGCCATCGAATCCGGAATCGACAAGCTATGGGATCGGGGATGGGGGAGGAACGGGCAGAGGCTAAACTGCACATGGGGAGGATGTCCAGCATGGCTGGAAGTCTTGTTTTTGCGGTTGGAGTCTCCTGCAGTGGCAGGCGTATGCTTCAAGTAGAGCCACCAGTTTTACTGACACCGCAAGGTAAAATATTCGTCCGTGTCTCCATGGGCTTCATGTTCCAAGGACTCCGTCGCCACATGAAGTGGCCAACCGGATGCCACTAGAACATTGAGTTTGAACAGTGCTGCAGCATGTAAGAGATGCCAAGAGTAAACACTTACACACTCACAGATCATGACCTAAGATTGATCAGAAAAAAGGTATTCTTGCAACTTGTGTTCCTGCGTTTGCTGAGCGAATTCGCCTAATTCAACCATGAACTATGCGCAAACACCTGTGTAGTGCCTGGTGTGTGCGCCAGGAGGTGCGATAAACGAGCATCCAGCCCACATCACAGACCTGCAGTGTCCTGAAGTCAGGTGGGGGGTGGAGGTGCTGCTGCATCGATTCTTCGCCTCTGGCTCTTGCCGGACCCTGAACGCCGACGAGGCTTCTCACTGTCGGGTGACACAAGGGCCTAGACTTTCACTTCCTGGGCAATGCCAGGGTTCTGGCATGGGGAATGGAGTTGTGATATCTTGCGGAGTGCCCTCGCTTCTTCAGCCATGAACCATAGCAGCCCGATTATCTGAGGGAGCCACCATCCTAGACGAAGGCAAAGCGTCGGACTCTTCGCCAGGCCGATCTCTTCTTGGTGCCTGACTACCGCGCTTGTCACATCCATCTCGTGCCGCCCCCGGGAGTGTCTGCTGGGGACGTGATTAGCGATCAGGTTTTGCAGTTTTTTGGGTTGAAGCAGAGACCAGTTTTGCTTCAAGCGTCAAGAGATTCAAGAGGCCCTGCGAGAGAGGCAGTGTTGCGTCTGGCTCGGAAAGGTCCAAAGCTTTAATGGATTTACTATACATGTAGTGCATCTAGTCCACGCCAGCCGGTTCAGTGCTGGCCCAGGTGTAGAGATGCTGATCACTAAAGCAAGTGGGCTTAGAGCCATTGTGCCTACCGCAGGATTCGCGAACGTGCTTACCGCCTTTTTAGGTAACTTGTTGTGGAATTCTCACAACGGCAATGGGAAGAGCGTGCAAAAGTTCCGAGTACATGCACGAGGAATCGTTGTCTGCTTCTTGAGTGTCCTGCCGGACTCCAGTGGTTTTGGATAGGACGGTTTTCAGGTCCCCTTCATGCCGGGCTTGTTTTTGCCAACCTCCGTCTCATTGTGGGTGCCGGCGTGTTGATCTTCCGTATCAGTTGGTTTTCCAGATTCTGTGCTGGGGCTCTGAAGCGGCTGCGAGTCGAGCGAGAAATCTTGTTCCGATGCGTAAGTTTGGACATTCCGCATTGTAAATTTGCAGCACGTGCAGCTGCAGTTCCATGTCCGGAGAAGCAGCAGTGCATCTCCCAGTTTCAGCAGGAAGAGATTGAAATGCCCGGAGTGCGCAGACATCGTCATACCGGCGCAACCTCAAGTGCTTATAGGTCGCGGTTGAGGATTCAGGTTTGAGCTCTGCGACCGTAATCATGCCGTGACATGGAAAGCCTCGGCTCAGGCCCCCAACTACCAGCACAAGGGCTTGACACTACTGGAAGGCGCTTACCACAAGCTGGTGGCTTTGTGACTTCCACAAACTGGCTGGTAGTCACTCGCAGTCTACGTGAGGGATTTCCCGGTCATGCAAGGTCTGGCAACTTTCTAGCAGAAGGATTTTCTTGTTTGCGCATGCAAACCTAAGCAGTGCTTTGCCCTGCTTCTTTGTTGCAAAGCTATGTAGCCGTCCGGGACCTGCGATCGCCTCACATCACTAAGTGACTGTGCTAGCTTCACAGTCCGGGGCCCGGAACTGCCTCGTGATGCGCCATGGCTGTGGCTTCAATCTGAAAGCCTCCCGTGAGACCGAACCAGATTTTTCCTCCGAAAACGTTCAGAAGCTTGCATTGCGGCCGCGATGGGCGACCACACTCGGAGTTTGCTCCTTTACGCTCGAGTGTGCTCCAGTGTGCTCGAGTACGCTCTAGTACGCATTAATTTCTAGCATACCCGTGCTGCTCGCGCACACCTAGCGCTACTAGTGTATACCCGGCGCTACTCGCACGTACCCGGCACCGTTCGTGCACAGCCGGCGGGACTCGTGCATGCCCGGCGCGACTCGCTCATACTCGTGCACACTCGCGTATGCTCGTGGATCCTGCACATAAAGCCCTGGTATATACCTGCACATACCCGGTGCTACGCAGGGCCCCACCTGCAGTCGCGCTTTCCCGTCGCCGTGGAAGCTTAGACCCACTCAAGAGCCCCGATCCGACTTCTCTTGTGTCCTTGATGCAGGTGACGATTACCACTCCCAGGTGATCCGAAACCACAAGGACAAGTGACCTCTTGGTGTTTGATGGCACGATTTGATACGATCATGTGTAATTCAAAAATTACACCAGCGAAGACCCCAAACAGAATGCATCGAATCAAACCGGTTCAAGTTGGAATGTGTTGGATCCCAATCTGGCTTCGCCAGCAGATTTTGCGAAGAAGAATTAGGCATTGGGCGATACATTTCTGCGAAAGAAGAGTGGGTGGTGGGACTCAAGCATGTGGGAAGGTTTTTGGGAGGGCCAGGGAGCATCGTTTAGAGGATCTTGCTGCAACACCATGCACGGAAAACATGCACATTTTTCCCGCAACTGCCACATTGTTGCCGCGTTTGCAAAACAGGATACCTGGCCTCTGCTGCAAACGTTCGTGGACGAAGTGCAAAAGAGCTTGGTGTTCGCTTCGGTTGGCTGTCGGACGGGAAGAAAACGAGAACTTTGCCGGCAAGAAAGGTAGGAAGGGATTTGTCGGCTTACAAGGCAAACAAAAAGCTCTCTTAACACGGAACCATTCACGTTTTCTCTGCTGACCGAACGAAGAGCATTGTCCACAGGATTTTGTTGCCGCAGGAACCGCACAAAGAAAAAACGCAACCGCTCCACAATTTTCATAACATTACCGTTTTGCAAAACAGGATTCCTTGCCTCCGCTGTAGACACTGGAGGAAGAAGCGCAATAGAGGTTGCTATATGGATCGGTTGGCTGTCGCACGGGAAAAAAGTGTGAACTTTGCCGCGCAATTTTCTTTACACGGAACCATTCACGACTTTTTCCGCAGACCGAGCGAAGATCCATAGAATCTTGCTACCGCAGAAACCACGCACGGAAAAAAACACACACAACATTGCCGTTTTGCAAGACAGGGTATGTGGCCTCTGCCGTAAACGTTTGTGGAAGAAGCGAAAAACAGGTTGGTATACGGATCGGTTGGCTGTCGCACCGGAAAAAAGTGTGAACTTTGCGGCGCAATTATGGCGAAAAGAAGAGCAAATGGGTTTGTCGGCTTACAAGGCAAACAAAAATGTTTCTTTACACGGAACCATTCACGATTTTGTCCGCAGACCGCACGAAGATCCACAGGATCTTGCTGCCGCAGGAACCAGGTTCACGGAAAAAACATGCAACATTGCCGTTTTGCGAGACAGGATATGTGGCCTCTGCTGTAGACGTCTGTGGAAGCAGCACGAAAAAGGTTGGTATACAGATCGGTTGGCTGCCACACGGGAAAAGGTAGGAACTTTGCCGCGCGAACTTGGCAAAAAGAAACGCAAAGGGGTTTGTCGGCTTACATCGCAAACAAAAATCTTTCTTTACACGAAACCGTTGACGATTTTGTCCGCCGACAAAACGAAGAACGTCGTCCACAGGATCTTGCTGCCGCAGAAACCACGCACGGAGAAACACACAAGTTCCCCTTTACACGGAACCATTGACGATTTTTTCCGCAGACAAAACGAAGAACGTCGTCCACAGGATCTTGCTGCCGCAGAAACCACGCACGGAAGAACACACAACCTTCCCGCAACTGTTACAACATTGCTGCCTTGCAAGACAGGATACCGGATACCTGGCCTCTGCTGTAGACGTTTGTGGAAGAAGCACAAAAGAGGTTGGTTTACGGAACGGTTGGCTGTCGCACGGGGAAAAGTGGGAACTTTGCCGCGCAAACTTGGCGAAAAGAAGACCGCACAGGGGTGTGTCGGCTTACAGGCAAAACGAGTATCGTTCTTTAGACGGAACCACTGACGAATTTTTCCACAGACCGAACGAAGAACTTCGTCCACAGGATCTTACTTCGCAGAAACCACGCACGGAGAACACACACACACACACAACTTTCCCGGAGTTGAGTTAATCCGACCCTCAACAGCAGCACAACGATATTGGGGTAGAATGGCCGGGCAAGGCAAGGAAACCCAAAAGGGAAGCCCAGCCCGAAGAGGAACACAAGCTGCAAGCGTACCTCTTTTCTCATTACTTGAGCCAAAGATCATGTCATTGGCACAGTCAGACATGTTACCTATACAAGGACAGGGAACGTCGTATTCGATCAACGAACTGTTACAACATTGCTGCTTTGCAAAACAGGATACCTGACTTCCGCTGTAGATGATTGCGGAAGAAGCACGAAACAGGTTGGTATACGGATCGGTCGCCTGTCGGGCGGAGCAAATTGGGAACTTTGCCGTGCAAACTTGGCAAAAAGAAGTGCGAAGAGGTTTGTCGGCTTCTAAGGTGAACGAAAATCTTCTTTGCACGGAACCATTGACGATTTTTCCGCAGACCGAGCGAATAACGTCGTCCACAGGATCTTGCTGCCGCAGGAACCACGCACCGAAAAACACACAACTGCTACAGCGTTGCTGCCTTGCAAGACAGGATGCCGGATACCTTGCCTCTGCTGTAGACGTTCGTGGAAGAAGCACAAAAGAGAATAGTATACGGATCGGTCGGCTGTCGCACGGGAAAAACGGGCAACTTTGCCGCACAAACAGGGCAAAAAGAAAAGCGAAGGAGTCGGCTTACATCGCAAACAAATATTTTCCTTACACGGAACCATTGACAATTTCTCCGCAAACCGAACGAAGAACGTCGTCCGCAGGATCTTGCTGCAGCAGAAACCACGCACCGAAAAACACACAACTGCTACAGCGTTGCTGCCTTGCAAGACAGGATACCGGATACCTGGCCTCCGCTGTAGACGTTTGTGGCAGGCGCCCAGAAAGGAAACATTAAGGTCATTAAGGGAACCCAGCGGGAGCTCAGGCCTTCTGCTGCGGCCCGCCCGTCCAACCCAGGAGCCCAGAAAGGAAACAGGAAGGAAGCCCAATTGGCAGCCCAATCCCTTTTCCGCGGCCCACCCATCCAATCCAGGAGCCCAGAACGGAAACATGAAGGGAGGTAAACGGGATTGCCGCGGCCCAAGGAAACATGAAGGGAGCCCAACGGAAGTCCAGGTCCAACCCAGCAGCCCAGAAAGGAAACATGAAGGGAGCCCAATGGGAGCCCAGGTCCTTTGCCGCAGCCCACCCGTCCAAACCAGGAGCCTAGGAAGGAAACATGAACGGAACCCAATGATAATCCAGGTTCTTTGCCGCGGCCCACCCGTCCAACCCAGCATTGAATGGAACTGAATGGGAGCCCAGGTCCTTCGCCGCAGCCCACCCATCCAACCCAGGAGCCCAGGAAGCAAACATGAAGGGAACCCAATGGTAGCCCAGGTTCTTTGCCGCGGCCCACCCGTCCAACCCAGGAGCAGAGAAAGGAAACATGAAGGGAGCCCAATAAAGCCCAGGTCCTTTGCCCCGGCCCACCCGTCCAACCCAGGAGCCCAGAAACGAAACATGAAGGGAAGTGAATGGGAGCCCAGGTCCTTCGCCGCGGCCCAACCGTCCAACCCAGGAGCCCAGAAAGGAAACATGAAGGGAAGTGAAGGGGAGCCCAGGTCCTTCGCCGCGGCCCACCCGTCCAACCCAGGAGCCCAAAAAGGAAACATGAAGGGAGCCCAACGAGAGTCCAACCCAGGAGCCTAGAAAGGAAACATGAAAAGCCCAATGGAGTTCAGGTCCTTTGCCGCCCGCCCAGAAAGGAAACATGAAGGGAACTGAATGGGAGCCCAGAAAGGAAACATGAATGGAGCCCAATGGGAGCCCAAACCCAGGAGCCCAGAAAGGAAACATGAAGGGAACCCGATGATAGCCCACCCGTCCAACCCAGGAGCCAGGAAGGAAACATGAAGGGAGCCAGTCCGTTGCCGCGGCCCAGCCGTCCAACCCAGAAAGGCAACATGAAGGAAAGTGAATGGGAGCCCAGGTCCTTCGCCGCGGCCCACCCGTCCAACCCAGGAGCCCAGAAAAGAAACATGAAGGGAAGTGAATGGGAGCCCAGGTGGCCCACCCGTCCAACCCAGGAGCCCAGAAAGGAAACATGAAGGGAAGTGAAGGGGAGCCCAGGTCCTTCGCCGTGTCCCACCCGTCCAACCCAGGAGCCCAGAAAGGAAACATGCAGGGAGCCTAATGGGAGCCCAGCCAGTTTGCCGCGGCCCAGCCATCCAACCCACCGCGGCCCACCTTTTTTCTGAGAAGAGAACCCCAAACCGTACCTGTTTGGGGAATTACAAAGGGTTCTGGGTGTTGGGGTGTTTGGGCGTGCACGGTCTTGCAGCTTTTAAGGTTGATTACCACAGCTTGAACGCCCCGAGCTCCATTCGCGCGTTTCACCCTGGTACAACCATCAGACTCGCGACGTCCTTCTGGCTGTGCTGAAGAAAAAAGAGAGAGAGGCAGGCTTGAAGAATGGGAGAGGTGTCTGTGCAGCTAGCTCATCGTTTTTTCGATCCCAGTCCTTGGGGTATCGGGGAATAAAATTGCTCCTGAAAATGAGCGTCCAGCCAACAGTCAAACACATTCCTCAGGCCTTCAGGCCTGATGAAAGACAGAGCGAGGGAGGGATGGTCTAGGTGAACATGGGCGTGGAACGGCCGGAGAGCCCTAGTTCACTAAAGCAGAATGCTCTAGTGAGGTCCCCGTCTGCTCTGCACATTGGCGTTTGTGATCGTTAATGTCAGCCCAGGGATGCTTCCAACAGTGCAAACTCAGATGCCGAAATGTCCTTGCGTCTGAGAAGGGGTGCCGGTCAGTGACAGGACCCTTTTGTCCCAGAGAAAGAAGGAGAGGGTTGGGCTTGGGCAAAATGTGACCAGCATCGAGGCGATCTGTCCAAAAAGTCGGAATTATCTATCAACCGTAAACGAGAACCCAAGTTCTACTCTCCTGACTTGACTTTCTCCCACTGTGAGGTACCGGCGTCCGGAGGAAGCCGAAAGCAGCTTTCTGGCTGCCCTGCCACGAGTTGTGGTGCGGGGATATCGCACGACAAGGGGGTGAGTGGCAGTCTCATCGCGAAGCCCCCGTTGCTTCAGATCGGAAAGCCCTCTTGCTGCCTTCAGGGCCTGATCCAGACCTTGCCGCACTTTGTCCGTGTCTTACTCGTGCCAGTGCGGGCCGATGGCTTTGGGAGTTTTAGGGTTTAAATGTTTAAAATCTCTGGAGGCACAAAGGGTTGGGTGATTCGATGTTCGTCATCACGACCGTCGAGCCCAAATCAGAATTACAGCCGATGGACTTCTCTCGGCGACTAATTGGAACGTAGCATTTCCCGTTGGTTCTTGATGTGTATAAAGAGGTACTCTTTGCATCAACGTGGGTGCAGCCCTCATCCTGCACCCAAACTGAGAACTCAGGATCGCAAGAAGGGCATGGACCACATCTTCATCTTCTCGGACCGACGGCCTTTCACAGCCTCAGAAATTTCGCCAATGCCGAAGGTCTTTCAACAGTGGGGGTTCAGCTTTATGTGTTCTCGCACAAGGTGGGGATGCGTGGGGATGCTAAGCGTGGAATCTGAAGTACGAGATTTGTGCTGCGGAACGGTCGGAACACTACCCACTGTTCAGCGACGATAGCCGTGAGGCAGATCCCCAAGTCGCAGGATCAAGGCTTCATCGTGAACTTCACCCACACCTTCCCCTCCTGGCGGGCGGCAACCTCGGATCCGGTAGTTTAAGATCTCCGAAGTGCTAGGCTTCCCATCCGTGGGGGTGGACTTGCTTTTCTGAAGGGGGTTCGGACTCGAGGTTTCGTTCAGCACCCTGAGAGGGATCCAGGCGAACTTGGGCTGAAAAGCCGCAGGATTCACACGAGTGCTGGGAGCCCCCGATGTGGCAGATGGCCCGTGATACTTGAAGGCGGGGGTTGAGTTCGTTGGGATGTAGCTGGGCAGGTCAAGTCTGCATGATCGCAGACGGCTTTTGTGTGCGTGCTGCGGTGTCATCGTGGCAACAAGCTTTACTCCACCTCTGTGTAGTCTGTTAACACTCACTGAATCGCCCATGGATGGGCGTCTTCGTGTGACATGAGGACCACATCCCGCATTCCATCTTTCTCACGACAGAGGTGCGACCGAGGGGCCGAGAGAGCCCGAGAAAGAGTCGGAGAGGAGCGGAGTTGTTGAGATGACTTGGGATGCGGGCACGGACCAGGGCATCCGTCGGGTTGTGAACACTTCTCAAGGCCCGACAAGCATGAGCTCCGGGGTTGAAACATCTCTCTTCTTTGTGTTTGTGTTTGACCCCTTAAGCAACACGAAGCCACGAAACCCCAAAGAATTTCCTGGCCAGGCCTTCACCCCGGGCTGCGGCCCAGGGTGCTTCTCACCCTGGAAGGACGGGAAATGTGCCCTAGTAGGGCTTAGGCTTAGGCTGGAGATCAGAACCGACAGTGCCTCGCGTCTTCCGAAGCCGAAGACGACATCTTCCTGGGTTTTCATTGCGTTTTTGGCCAGAAGTATTGGTGACAGAAGGGATCATCATGGACAGAGGGAAGCAGCAACTAAAGGACACACTTTGCTGTCTGTCAACCCTACCAGTAGCCTCCATCCTTGGGGCTAAGCTTTGAGGGTCACCCTGTCAGCTTTCGCCCCAACGGAGGATGCCGTCATACCAGGCCTGGCTTTCCCGGGTCTCCTTCTGTTGAGAGGTTGCGGCACCTATTCATTATGACACCACAGAGTGTAGGAGATTGTCAGTTGTCGGCACTGCTGTAGGATTGACTTCCTTTTCCGCCCTGTCGTTGTCGGGTTCCACGATTAGCTTCGCGAGCTCACATCGAGTGCTCTCGTTCCAGACGCACTGTCGAGCCTGTGTTCCATTTTGGGGTGTTTGGCTGCCCTGGTCCCTAGTCTTGGAGCTGGTGTGTCACTGGGCACGAATGTCTTCGGAAGTTACTCGCAGGGTTATTGCGGTTTGGAGGAAACTGTTCCTGCCAAGAACAACGAATCCCCTTCTCAGACTGTGTAATCATTTAGCTTCATCACAATAAATCGCATGTCCAGAACCTGCAATCAACTCCAGGCTCAGGAGTTCAAAAGCCAAAAGCAAGCCGCTGGGTGCGTGCAGAGTTGGGCTTAGTTAAGACCAGTGCAGCATGGGGATGAAGCTCGGTTCCGACAAATTGAAGATAATTGTTTAGAGCACCTACCCGTGACCGAAACCAAAGCATGACAGTACCGGACAAATCGGAGGAGAAGTGACTGGGGGCTTGGGGCAGCAGCCTGGACGGAATCCAGAACCAAGAGCCCCGAATACTTGATCCGATCCGTAACGCTGCAAGGCCACATCGACCTGGATCGGATGGAGCGCATCCGAAGCTTCAACCAGCCTTCCAGCAACAGAAGCGGCTTGGACTTGGACAACATCAAAGCAACGACCCGGGCTTCCACTATCAAGATGATGATGGAAGTTTCTCACCAGCAGGATCTTTTGTAATTCTATAGTCAGCAGAGTCCGAAAGTAGGCAGTTTTCGTAGTGCGTGTTTGCACCAGATAGGGATGTGCCGACTGTGGCGTAGAGATGGGTGCCGAGCCCAAGACAGTCGCGAAGTGGCCGGAAGGCCCGGTGGTTGTAGTTGAACCGAGGTCTGCTGTTCAACTTCCATGGCCGCCTTCCGGTGAACCACGACTACTACGAGCCCGGCGCCCGGTGAGACGTGGCTTCGCAAGGGGGGTCCCATGGGCTTTCACTACGCCGCTTTCGCGAGGCCTTCTATCCGAGCCCCCAGAGACCTGAACCCGACACAGCCCGAACATGAAGGTGGAGAGGGTTTATTATGTTCACTCCAAGAGGGTAGGGAGACGCAGCCCTAAACCCGAAAGTACCACCACGACCGTGCGGTGGGAATAGTGGGCCCTTGTTGTCTCATTTTCATCGGCTTCCCAACAACATTTCTTGAGAATTGCATGGACCCCCTTGCATGTATTTTCACGGGGTTTTCTTATGTGGCAACCATAAAGAAGCATAGGTCATGAGGCAACAGCACGAAAAAGTGTAGTGATACCGTTGTAAACAGCTACAGCTAAATCATGCACACAAAAGCTTTCTATACTGTAAGGGTTGCAGTACATTTCCATACCGCGTTCTGCTGATACGATTCTTTGGTACATGCATTTTTACCTTCACGGTGTTTGCATTTAAGTCGTTGTTGCACCAGGAAGGTTGGTGTTCGTCGAGCGCTTCTCCAGTTCGCGGAGCTGCCGCATGTGAGCGCTCAAAGCTCAGGGCGTTTTCCATTGCAGGCTCCCAAGTATTGTTCTAGCCAGGATCGGTTGTAGGGTTGTAGGCCTTCCCGAGGTGGGTGGCTTCATCGAGGAGTACTTTGAAGTCATGGGCCGGGCCCCGAGTTTGGGCTCGTTGCGCCCCAAACTCGATCTCTCCAACTACAGACTTCGGAGACTCAGGCAAAAGCCATTTCTGCCTGGTTCCGGAGGGTACATCCTCGTGGACGCCACCAGCCGAAGTGTGGGGTTGGTCAGTAGGCTCGTTTCGGGTTTCCTTAGGGTTAAAGGATGTTAGCTCTTGAGTGCAAGGTTGAAGTGGTCGAAACTTGAAGACAAGCCCGAAACAAAGAAGCACAAAGGCATAAGCCGAGTTCGAAGTTAGAAATTCCAGGTGTCAACCGGGTGCGAGCTTCCGTCATGCATGTTGCTAGGCATTGTTAGGCAAGCGGAGTCGAACTCCTGTGCGATATTGGGGGTCTAGTTAGCCAGGAGTTCCGGTTTCGAATCTCGACTTGGGGCTTGCTCAGGAACCACCTCTACGAAAGCTTCTTCGCTGGCTGCATCCCATTGATTCTTTCGGATCGCTATGTCCTGCCCTTCCAGGAGATCGGCTTTGGGTTGCAGTTCATGCAAGTTAACTTGACACGAAGTTCATCAAGAGACCGGTTCATGGCTCCGACGTGCCGTGTTGCGGTACGTACCTGCTATTGGAACTTGTGCTTGCTGTAGACATCCTAACCCTATTGCATAGCATGTGTTGGGTCGGTTGAGGGTCAGCCGTCGCCTGCGCTTCCATTCAGGTGTGCCACACTGAAGGCCAACTGGTGATCCCACTGCTTCCCTCCGAACCGGGTTATTCCCCATCACAAAGTGCAGGATCTGATCGACTGGCCCTCCATCAGCATACGCTGGCCGCAGGATGCAGGGTGTACAGTTCTCACGAGTTCCCTGTGAGTTCCTTCAGTCTCAGGCACAAACCCCCACCCGCAGCCACTCAGAGATTGTACCCACAGTAAAGAAGCCAAAGCCAGAGCTTTTGTAAAGGGGGGACTTGTTGCAGGAAGCAGTTTCGCTGGAGATGTACATGTACGTTAAGGCCAGGAAGGGTTGGAACGTGTTTTTTTGTGGCTGTTGATGCTGGATGGGAGGAGTGCGTAGCTGTTTGTAACTTCCCACATGAAGTGAACTAGTCTTGCCCAAGGATGTTTGCCTCGAGTGAAGCGGAGAGAAACTCCAACTTGCCGCCACGGGCTGCACCTCGAACGACCTCGAACGCAGTAATCTCAAGTCTGAGGAAGGTTATGGTCGATATTTCCTGCGTGTATTTCTTGCATCGGCTCAGACGTCAAGATACGTCAAGGTGTCAGCTTCCTGTCAGGTGACAGCAAGGCTGGTTTCGCTAGGTTTGGTCCCTCCAGGGATTACTTGGGCACACACTGGTTGCAACGTCATGTTGCGTCAGGAGCTCGTCGGCAAGCGTCGCCCACTAGTGGAAGCCATCAAGCCGTTCTCTGAGCATTTGCCAGTGAGATCAGGGTTGGTCATGCCAACTGCGCATATCCTCGGTGGCTAAAGTTGGCTACCGTCTTGTCCGAGGCAGCGAGTGGACGAACATGCCTGTTGGTTTGACTTCTATCGCTTTGACCGGGACTGCTCGCCCGGGACCCGGCACAGGAATTCGGAGCTCTTTCAGGCCGTGTACAGTACGGGCCGTACAGACGATTTGCCGGATCTTCGCCCCAATGCTGGAGGTCTGGGTTCCAATATGTAAGTTCTCAAAGAATACTCCAGGATGGTGGCAAGTAACATCCTGAGGCCATATCGTGGTGTGGTTCACGACCTGGAGCGGCGCCACCAGAGCATGCCGAAGCACCTTGATGGTTTAGATTCTGTTTGGATGATGCTCCAGATTCCATCAGGCTTCCACACTTCCGGCATTGCCTGTTGCATGAGTTTTCTCTCAATATTGGGAGCTCGTCGCAGGGCATAACGCCAAACTTTTTTTTGGAAGCCTTCTGCTAGCTTGCGTTCGCAACTTGAGATGGGCTTCGGGCTTCTGGTCCTTGCAGGGGCTCGATGTTCAGGCATATTCAGGTGCAGTGGTCAGCGAAGGATTCTGGCTCGGACTTCTTGTCGCACTCGCCTCAGCAGCTTTTGCATACAGTGACTGTAGCATACACTGGCTGGTGCTGGTTTGGGACAAGCAATATATTATATGTTCAAGGTTGTACTGTGGTCTTTTACCTTTGATTGTGCTGTCACGGATGATGGGACTTATTTCGTGGACAGTTGAGAATCCCCGACAAAGGTACTTACATCCACACCACTGGATGCTCTAGACTGTGCGACCTCTACATCAAGCCAGGACGCAAGGCAGAAACACTTGAACTTCCCAACCCTTGGGGATAGCAGGGTTTGGGGCTGCCTGGGTTACCTTTCAGATCTGGTGGAGGGCATGGAATAGAAAACCCACATGCCGATCAGATCGCCATTCAAAGTGTTTTCCTCTGTCTTCGGCGCCGCTTGCTTCGCGGTACACAGGTTTTTCAGTCCATTGCACGTGCCTTTTCTGGACTTCTTTGCTCATCGAGTTCCTGCTTGTTTGGCATGGTTGTCTGAGCCTGCAGAGTCGAGTATCTCGAATGGAGCGGTTTCAGTGTGGTACGAGTTTGTGGTGTTTTTTGCTGTTTGCTTGGTCGAATGCAGATTTTTTTAGCCTTAGCGAACGAAGTACCGTCTTGTGGAAACTTTCGGTTCTGGAGTGTTCTTTGAGTGCTTCTTTTTTTGTCGGGGAGGGCGTGCGATGTGGTGTATTTCCTCTGCATCTCCCGCAGAGAGAATCCTTACACTTCCTCTACATCTTCCTTTTTTGCAGCTTCTGCTTCAGACCGAACCTCTTCGCCATGTCTTGGTGGTTCTTGGAGTAGGAGTGGTGAGTAGTAGTTAGTAGTAGTAGTAGTAGTAGTAGTAGTAGTAGTAGGAGGAGTAGTAGTAGTAGTAGCAGTAGTAGTAGTAGTAGTAGTAGCTGTAGTAGCAGTAGTAGTGGTAGTAGTAGCAGTAGTAGCAGTAGTTGTGGTAGTAGTAGTAGTAGTAGTAGTAGGAGCAGTAGCAGCAGCCGCCACCGTAGCAGCAGCAGCCGCTGTAGCAGCAGCAGGAGTAGTAGGAGTGGTAGTAGCAGTGCTAGCAGTGGTGGTCACAATAGTTGTAGTACGAGAAGGAGCAGTTGCACAAGCAATGGTCGTTTTAGGCAGTAACAGGTAGCAGCAGGTAGTATAAGCTAGTAGTAGGCGCTAGTAGGAATTTTAGGGAGTACCAGGGAGTAGTGGCTAACAGTAGATAGCAGTAGCGTGCTAGTTGTACTAGTAGCACTAGTAGGATCACCAGTGCAGGTACCACCACCACTCCTACTGCATCAGACCCCGACGCAGTCTGCTTGTCTCGTTGTCGTCTACTACTACTGCTACCACAGCGGCTATAGTAGTGCCGATACTTTTTTTGCTATTGCAAGGCCACAGACTTGGGACGAAAAGCAAATGACCGGAACAGCTGCACGAAACATTTGTGCTCTTGAAGAGGGTTTCGGTCGGCATCCATGGTGGTTTAGCACTTTCCACACGTGCTACCGCGCGCACATGCGGAGGTTTCTCTCGGTCCACGCCTTCGCACGCCAAGTGGGCTGCGTATCGATGATTGCAGTGCGCGTGGACTCGCAACACATCAGTGTTCGCCGCACTGACGTAATTACGAACGGCATGTTGTTGCAGCCGGAGAGATACAACTCCAGCCTGGCCAGCCTCGTGTCCTTTCAGGGATGGCCTTCCGAACGACTCCGGCATCTCCCACTTGGCCGGCCAAACAAGGCTGGAGGAACCAAGAGGGCGGCGGAATGCAAGTCCCATTGTCAACTCGACTGCACGACTCGAAGCTTCAGATCTTGTGGTTGTCTCAGTTTTCGCAGATTGCTGAAGACAAGCGACGTATTGCAAAGCGCTAGCCGCGAGTTGCCGAAGCCCAGCAGAAGTTTGTGGGCGCCTCACGCAGGCAGCACTGCGACAAGAGCCTCCGAAGACCTCGAGCAGCCGAAGAGCTAAGCCCAGCGGGCCAACGTGTGCAGATGAGTGGATTCTGGATATGCCCTAGAGTTCTAGAAGCCTGGAGGCCTAGAGGCACTGTGGCAAGGGCGAGAGCCTTCCGAGCAAAGAAGAGACTACTCAAGCGGTGGATCTCCGAGGCGTGGTGGAAAAAAAGGGTTCAGCCACGTCCAGTGGAGGGGCTTCCACGGCATTTTTCCAGACATGCCTGCAGGAAGCTGGTTCAACACGGTTTTGACTCATTCAGCGCTCTGCATGGCCATGATGCTTTATGCTTGGGTGCTCATCTGCATGTTTGAAGCTCGTTCATCATCAGAAGGCATATTTTACGCGGCTCACAGCATGGGAGTGAACCCAAGAAATCGCTATCCCACAGAAGCTTCATGCGCACGTGGACGGAACTCGGAAAGGTTGCGACCGCAGCAGCTGCAACATAGACGATTTTCAGAGCCACACCATCGAACCTCCTGCCCCTCTCCAGCAGAACAGTTCCAGGCATCAATACTTCCCAACTTCAGCTGCTCTCGAACTATTCAGATCCTGTTTCTGCTGGAGGCGCAACCGCCACAAAAGCTGCGCGACTCCTGAAAAAACCCAACGTTTCGGCACACTTGACAGCCGCTGGCACAGATCCCTACTCTCGCCACAGATTTCGAAGCCCCCGAACCCCTCACCAGCACAGACTCAGTTCTTTCGCAGAAACTGTCAGCAAAGCGCGGTGGCCAAGCCTGGCCATGCGACTCTGGCAGCTCATCGTGCTCACAGGCAGGGCTCGTCCCTCGTTAGAGCTTGGAAGCCTCCGCCGACCATGAGGTAGACAGGATCAGAGCCTAGAGACAAATCCTCGAGACTACAAGCTTGTCGGAGTACTTGTGATATGTCTGCCCAACTGGTGCTGCATCCGGATCAGCCGGCTAAGAATGATGTGACCTCGAGGCATTGCGTCACTCGTTTCACTCGCTTCAGGACCACAGGTTACCTGGTCGGATCTGGCAGATGCTTGGCCGCATTCAGCTGATCCTTCGGTCCCAATTCTGAGACTTAGTGTCACGACTGCCGGAACTGGATCCCCTGCTTCCCCAGCCGTGCTGTCCTGGATTAAATCCCTTGTGCTTTCGTTCCGTCTTTGCTGTGACTGCTTGTGCTGATGCCGTTTTCACTCATGATGGCATCACAACAACATGGCAACATGGAGCTACTGTCAGCTGTTTTTTGATTGCAAGCCAGGAGTGGTTCAGGAATTTTCTTCCGACGCTCCGAAGCTCTGAAGCTCGAGTCTTCAGGAGCTTCAGGGCTTCGCTTTTTCGCGAACCAAACGGGGCGCTCTCTTTGTTCTGTCGCTACGTATACCATCATACTTGCACCAGCGCGCTGCCGCATGAGAATTCACCCATGTAACTGCGCTTAGCCAATTTCAGAACCTGAGCTCAAGCCTTCCCGAAAAAGCCACTTCCAAGACCCGAAAAGCCATTTTGACGGATTCTGGTAAAGCTTGGGGACGTCTCAGGAAGAGTTGGACACCGCGGAGACATGCCCGAGCCGCCCCCAGACAACGTTCGTTTCAGGATCGCGGAAGCTCTTCCGAAGCTCAGCTGTAGGGCAGTAGGATGCCATATTTGCAGGCAAGAAACGGGTATTTTTAGTGAATACCATTTCCATTTTCTAGCCATGCACCCCCCGCTATGCCACCCCTAGCACCCAAACTATAACAACCTGTGCCTCAACCTTCAACCCATCCAAGACCCATAGGTAGAACCCCCATGCCAATGCCCCGTGTGCTTCCATAAGCGCATTAACAGAATGTGGTAATTGTCTAATTAGTTTGTTTGGTGCTGTGGAAGAAGGAGAAGAAAACCCCGATAGTCCCCATGCAATGTTCTAATGATTTACTTCAAGAACTAACTAATTACAATCATGAAGTATTGTGTCGGTATAAGAAAGTAGATTCTAAATAAGAAACAGCTAAATAAACAACAGCTATATATGTTAAGCGGAAAATGGATTATACGAACTTAAATACAGATAAAATGAAAGTGACATATATCAAGAAGATGTATGAAATTAAATTTAATGAAGAAGGTTACCTAAATAAGATTAACGAGTTAGCAAAGTTAGTTAAACTTCATGAAGGTGTTTTTGATAATGGAGACGAATTGAATTGTAGGTGTGATATATCTCCTTTAGAAGGTAAAATCTCAGAAAATAAAACGTCAATAAAGCAATATTCAGGCTTAATTGAACATATTGAAATACTTTGTAATTGTGAAGGGATTAAAGACACGAAATATTTAGATGTAAAGCCAAAAAATGCTGTTAAGTGGATCAATATAAGTACTAAGGATATTGAGAAGGATTATGACGAGCTCATCGATTCTAAACAATAAACCAATATTACCATTATTTTAACAAATAACCGTATTCTTGTTTCTTATTCCCATCTTATTCCTAAACCTTATTCCTATTATAGATATTTGTTGGAGAATACCATTTCCATTTTCAAGGGTTAGGGATGTCGGGTTGGGTGATATGGTTTTTCTATGGAGGTATTGGTGTATGGGGTTGAGGTTGGGGGTTTTCTAGGTGGTGGTGTGTGGTTCTTTGAGTGGTTCCATCAAGTAGGTCTTAGGTTGGGTTTTTGTTGTTGAGTTACGGTTGAGGTAAAAGTTGCGGTTTTGGGTCTCAGGTGGGTCTTTCCTAGGGTTCTACCTGTGGGTCTTGGGTGGGTTGAAGGTTGAGGTATAGGTTATTATGATTTGGCTGCTAGGGGTGGCATAGGGGGGGGGGGTGCATGCTTAGAAAACGGAAATGGTATTCACTGACTTATTTTGCAGGGGATGCCTTGCCGAGGTCTTGTCTGGCCAAGGGCGGCGGCTGGTGCACCGCTTCGCAGCGCTGTGTCGAGGCGGCATGTGCCTGGAGTAGGGGGTCCCAGGGCTGACACTCCGGAGCAGACGGCATCTGCACTCCGGGACGGCATTTCATCCTTCGGTCTCAACGCAAGCCTTTCGTTCGGACGCCTGTAAAGCTGTGTATTGCATCTTCGGTGTCTCACCGTGCAAGCAGTCGACTCTCATTTTTCATGTCTGTTGTCGACACTACCAGGTTAACATGGTGCTTCGGAAACCGCCGCTTCTGTATCATGCTGCATCACGATGTAATTGCCACTTCTGAGGGATGATCTTGTTGAGAATTGCAACAACGTTGTCCCCTCTTCAAGAGCCAGTATAATTAAGACGATGATGGCAATCTGAACCATGACGTCGGCAGCATTCTATCGTACCACGGCTCTGCTCCTGCTGCTGGTGCTGCTGCTGTTGCTGCGGTTGTCGATATTTGTGGAGTCGGGATCGGGGTCCATCTAGGTGGAATCAGATGTCGGTGTTGTGTTCAGGCACGACTGCACCGTTGCTCGTGCACCTGGGACTGCTTTTAGTTTTCCTGTTGCTGCATGATGCTGCATATTTCTGCGATTGGTAGCACGAATATTTCAATCAGTGCTCCTGCTGCTACGCTGCCACTATCAGTTGTCTTTTGTGTCACAATGGAAATCTGGCTTGTTGTTCGCATCACGCCAGTTCTGCTGTCCTGCTTTTCTTGCGCATGTTGCTGTTCATATATCAACACATGTGCCATATACGGGTTTTGTCGCCACTATATATTTCACGAACACTGCTAGTGTTTCGTGCAGTGCCGGTGCCTTGAGACCTCGCCTCATCCCGTTTCGTACTTGCAGATGTCTTGCTGCAAGCCTTGCATCTCTTCCTGTGATGGTTACTGCGATTGCCATTATTGTGTGAACTGTTCACGCTGAAGTCTCAGGTTTAGCTGTTTGCCTGGCGGCGATTCGTCTAGACATGCATCCTCATAGCGCGGCGTGATAAACGCTGAATGTTCAGAGGACGACATTGCGTACTGCGAAGTCGCAGCCTGGTCGCAGACAAGAGGGCTCAAGGCGTTTGGCACTTCAGCATCATGGAGCTAGTACCTACGAGGTTGGCTTGAATGCGGAGAACAGGTGTGGGGTTTCGTGCTGTTTCCTCGGAGATGTTTGAGCGTCGTCACGGTGCAAGTAGACTTTCATGGAATTAAACACTGTGATGCTTGTGCGGCCGGGTCTGTGTTTTTGAAATCGATCGCAGCACGACTACGACAAAAAAGAACTCACTAGCGCCGCCCCTCCCTGCCGCTTCACACTACTCCATCGCCACACTGTCACAAGGAGAGCCTTATCGGCCTTGCCGGATACACCGACGACTGTGGGATGGACGAAGAAGGCCCCTCTCCCTCTACTTCAGGACTTCAGGGAGGTTCTTGTCCTGCAGAGGTTCCACTTATGGCAATGAGGAAGCACTCGGATATCGGTGGAGGCCTTCTTGTCGTTTGATGCGTCACGTACTGTAGCGGGTCCGAGCAGCGGGTTTGAGGTTGCAAAGCTAGTTCGAGTTGTGGGCTTGCAAGTGGGCGTGACTAGAAAGGGGATCGATGAAGGTCGGCATTTTGCGAGACATGCGCTCGTAAATTTCACACTGTACAGCCAACCAAAACTCTGATGCACCTCAAAACAAGTCTTCAATCACGCATCACTTGACTGAGATGGGAGGCTCTTCCAGCTCCATAGTGTTCTGCGAAGCAGCTCACAGTAACGGTTTTGATGGTGATGACCATGGAGCGATGATGATGATGATGGTGGTGGTCATGGCGACTGACATGTTGAAGACTACGAGACGAACGGGAAACAGTGAGATGATAAGGATGACGAGTCAGGGTGATGGCGACAACTGCAACGACAGCATTATGGTGATGACGACAATCTTTTTGTTTTCAATGAGGTTGTTTGATAAAGATGTTGAGAGGACTGAGAGTGCGAATGCTAAAGGTGGGGATGGTGATGATTGTGGTGGGGAGGTGGGTTCGTAACGTAGCCTGATGAGGAGCGATCGGCCGGGTCTTCGGATTGACTTCTGTCGAGCAAGGTCAGACTTGGGATTCTAGCTTATGGCTCTGGAGCTACCAGGGCTACAACCCCAAATCCTCATTTGTAGCTCAGCTCAGGCCAGAAGCCCCGAGTTCGACCCTGGATCGACAAAGGACTCGTTGGGGGGGATGACGGCTTTGTTTGTTGTACAACCTACCTACACGTCAAACACATTCAAACACCAAGATCCTGTGCTGAGCACTCTCTTAGTCTTGAAAGGTCTGGTAAGGTTGCAGAGAGACCCAGGACGAGCTGTAAGGATTGTGTTACCTCGTGCTGCGTGCAGGTAGCTGCGCAGTGGTTCAACAGACACCGAAGCAGACAGCTTCACAGCTGTTGTGCCTGCCACCTCTGCGACACCCCCAGCCAAAATCCTTCACGCGAGGAGTTCTGGTTTCGTACACCTTCGAAAATGGCTCTTGCTGCCTGGGGCAAGGCGCCAACTTGCATGGCCCCTGTTGGGGTGACTTGTGGTGTTTGCTGCAGAAGTAATAGGTGCCTGCTTCTTCACCTATGACATAAATTGCCAACGTGTGTTTCGACAGCTTTCTCAACAACAGAGCTCGTGATGCCTGTGGGCACAAGCGCCAGGCATTGTCAGCCGAGCGTACCACGTGCTCGAAGAGCCGCCTGGTGACAACAGTACAATGACATGATGGTGATTGCGATGGTTGTAACGTGTTGACGATTTTGTCACTAATGGAGACGGTGGTGATGATGGTTCTGATGGTGATGTTGAAATTGTAGTGTGCAGTTTGAAGAATTAGTCGATTGCGATCGATTGCGAGCCTTCGAAGTCCGTCGGGGACCCGGTCTCGGATCCGAGGGACCGGGTCTTGCGGCCTCGGAGTGCTCACCTAGGGCATGGTCCGGCTGGGTGGGCTGTTTTTTTACATTCCGATGCGGGCTGAGGTACACCGTCCTGCTCCGGGATGGCTCCAAAGAGGAGGTGATCCTCGTTTGCATTCCTTATGCCTGATTCAGCCTGGGGTACTCCCCGAGTCTTCAACCGAGGACCGGTTCCGAAGAAAGGCTTTCAACATGACTGTACACGCCCTTTGGGCATAAACGATCATCCACTATTCCTTGATAATAAACAAATCCTGATCCATCTTCGAAACAAAACTTTCTTGTTGCCATCTTGTGCAGACCACTCCGTCCTTGCAGAGCCGCCAAGCATGCCTGTTCACACACTGAAATTTATCAGTTCGGCTTCGGCTAAAGTCTACAGGCTACAGGGCCTTCCAGAGCTTTCGGCATGCTCTTCGTGGTCTCTGCAAACCCTGAGCCGCAAAGGAAGACAGATCGGTGGAACCGTCGAAAGCCTGCGAAGAAGAAAGACGAAAACTCAGAGCCCGGTGCTCAGATCAGACGCACTGAAGCTGAAATTCAACTTCGCCGAGTCGGGCTGGTGAGCCTGGTAGCCTAAACTCGACTACACCCGGCATGCTCGCAACCCCAAGGTACCACAACATCGAGTTCCGGTTCTGATCTCAGATCCACCAGCGCCGTAGTTTCCTGCTGTGGTAAAGCCCTCATGTACCGTGTTAGTGTTCCAACTGCCGCCAGAGTGTGTGTACGAGTGGAGCAGGCCGGCCGGTTGATCCCAGCCTCTCGCCCACTCTTGGCCTTCCGGCAAAGACCGTTCTGTGAGGTACTTCTCCCCAAGAGAGCTAACTGTGCTTTCGGGGCTACGGCCTGGGGATCTGGTAGAGGCCCCCCCGGCGGGTCTGGGAGTCGTGAAGCTGAAGGGGCCGAGGAGCGCGTGTTTCAGAAGATATTTGAGAGTGGCGGGCGGATGATCGGTGGGAGATTGTCTTTTGGAGTTCTCTGACCTCAGATCTTATTCGCCAGGCACATTTTGCAGTGAAAAAGAAGGGCGCTGCCGAGGACGAGTTGATCAAGAGCCGGTGCCAGCGACAGAGGGGCCTTTGGATTGTGGAACATTATAGAAACTTCAGGAGTGTTGCTCGGTAGAGAGGCTCAGAGTTGGGGAGAGAGGACAGGGTGGGTCAAAGATCCTCCGATTCGGGGCTCATACCAAGCTGGCTGTAATTACAGGTGGTGTTAGCAGCACAGCAAGCGCCTGTCGGCTGCCATGAACTCGGCTTTTCCACCCCATAATCTATGGACTCGATGGGCCAAGCTTCCAGCGGGTTGTCAGCTGGCTTCACGTGACACAACGGAGAGCACCATTAACACTATGCAGATGAAGTGTGCGATCACATCCGTTCCTCCGTCGACTAACCATGTTGTCACGTGGCTGACCCGAATCCTCCTCTTAACAAGTTGCTTGTGGAGGCGAACAGAGCTGGCTGTAGTCATCAACACCACAGTGCCGGCAGCTAAGGGATCGGTCGAAGCATTTCCGGGGACGTCGGGTTCGGGGATTGGATGCTTCAGGGGTAGTTGTCTCGCGATCGGACTTTCCATGCTTTTGGAAACAGACGTGGTGGAGCGCTTGCCTTAAGCTACACCGCACAAAGGTTTCCCTCGATCTTGGGGCGTCATCTTCTTTCCCACTACTGTTCTGTTATTAAGTTTGCCATGCTTGCTCTTGACACAAATTATGGCGGTACTGCGCCAGCTCGTTTTTTCATGGTGTGGTTTGCACAGACGCAGTGAGGGTCTCTACACCGGTGGTCTCGGACAGCCATGGTTGGCCACACACTTCGACCTTCCGAGGGTCGCATTGTCCAGTGTAGGGACTTTCAGCTTTGAACCTTCTTTGGGCTTGGGGTTGACAAGTGTGTAGGTATGAAATATCCTCTTCCTGTTGCTGCTTGTGCTTGTATCGTTACATGTCAAGGCTCAAAAACCCAGCAAGTCTCGGACACCTCCCAAACCTGTTATCATACAAAGCATCAGATCTCACCCCTATGTAGCAAAAGCAGAGGTCGGTGTCACTATCACCGCAACGTCAGAATCAGCATAACTGTCACAGTCTCCATCACCATAACTAACACCATTGCCACATCAGAGCAACCAGTATGACAATGGAAGCGAAAAAACGATGAAACATGACTCAGGTGTGCTGCAGTCCTTGCAGTAAGTGTGCTATCAGTCATATCCATAGTATGCTAAACCGGCGCGTCTGCATCAATAGCCGGTCGAATCCGCATCAACAGCAACCCTGTCAGTATTCAGCAAGTGAAACTGCTGGAATAGCGGTACTAGGAGTCACATGCCGCACCGGACAGTAATAGTAGCAACCGGAGCCGAAGCTTCTCTGCATATTGGGACTCGGATGTTCAGACCTGGGCGAGCTGCATCCCCTCCAGAGCGTTTCCATACCCAGTGTTTTGACATAACTCAGAAGCTGGTGCGTGGTGGCCGCAAATGTGCTCAAGCATTCTTGACTTGCGGCTGTAGCATGCGGCAATGATGGCTGGCTTCAATCCACGGCCACCCTCGGAGCCTCGTCAAGGCCCAATGTCCCCACGCCGCCTCAACAAGGCCCCTGAGACTTCGAGTGATTTGTTTCTTGTGAGGCGTTTGCTCTCGCCAGACAGTGATCAAAAACAGACCGTGCCCCGAACCTGTTCGCAACCTTGTGGATTTGCGCCTCAGGCTCTGTGTCCGGAGATCGTCCACGTCGAAACAGAGATTTCGGCAGAGATGGTCCAGCCAGAGACACCTCCCAAGGACTCTACTTGCAAAGGCCTGGGGCTAGGAGTCGATTGCACAGCTAAGTCTAAGATGAGGGAGCTCCCAACCCTCTACAGCCCAAAATCCGACCCGAAGAAGAAATTCTCAAGGGCTTCCGTCGGCCATGCCTGGCAAGGGTTGGGGTTAAGTGGTTGCAGACCCAGTCTAGCCTGAAGGGCTTGGCTTTAAGAGACAGTTCCTTGTTTGGGAGCATGTCATCTTGAGGTGGTGCAAAGAAGAATGCCCGACGGAGCGTTTCCTTTGACGAGACACCGGAGATCCAGTGGATAGAAGCACTTGAAAATGCAGAGGTGTCTCCAGGCCGCTCTGTGACTGAGTTGCGAGACTTCGGTTCGTGAGTCCCGGCTGCTGGTAGCTGTTAGAGGGGCAAGCATTCAATGTTTCATGCCACGGAGAGAGAAGCTGCAACAGCAGCCCTTCGACTTTGTCGGTCTTGTGATGCCATCATGGTCATCGTGAAGCAAAGAGAGACAGAAGCGCAGAGTCCAAGGGCCGTCGTCCAAGTCTCACCTGTGTCAGCCAATAGAATGCCAGAAGGTTGTGTTTCGGGATCGTGCTTCCGAGATGTCTGTAATCGTCGTCGGCAATTCGAAGAACTCGGAAGGCTTTGCTCCCGTGCTTGCTGTGTAGGTCTCCTGCATGGTATCGGCGGACTTGGAGCTCTCGTGGCCTTACGGGAGTATCGTCTGCGCGACTCACAACAGGCCGCATGGTTCAAGAGACATTTTCGAACAGAGATGGTGACGACGACCATGATGATGATGATGAGGAGGAGGAGGAGGACGAGCAGGAGGAGGAGGAGGGGTGATCATGAAGCATCATGAAGCCGCTCGTGATGATGACGATAATGAGCATGATAAACTTGATGGTGCCGAACCTTCATGCTTGATGTCACGAGAAGATGGTCAGCATGTTACTCTCGAGGCCCTAGGCATTATTTCAATTTGTGTTGGAGAGTAGTTGTTCGGTTGCAATACATCGTTGTTTATGCCAACTGGCCGAGACGCCGCCCGGACACCCTTTTTGGGCCTGTTTTCGTTTTTGCTGTTTCGAGGTTTGGGTCAACAGCGTGGGTTGTCCTCGGTTTTTTTGAAGATTTGTTCTTGGTTCTTGTGGTTTGCTCTCTGTTTTTGTGATTTGCTTGCGTTGCGATTTTGCTCTTTCCGGGTCCAGCACTCGAGGTTTGCTGCTTTTGAGCGTATTTTATGCTGGAAGGGCCATTTCCACTCAGACCATGTCCGTTTCCGCAAAGCATCCATGTGCCAAGCATGTTAACGTCCACTCAGACCACGTCCGTTCCCGCAAAGCATCCATGTGCCACCCATGTCAACTGACTCCGTCCTTCCCGCAAAGCATCCGTGTGCCTCAGGCACTGCTCCTCACATTCTTGAGATATGGTCACGTTTTTGGCTAACTTCGCAAACCTCCCAAATTAGTTCTTCGGAGCCAGCAGGCCGTATGTTACAATACTTTTGGGTTTTGGGAATGTGCCAAAAAGCAGGGCGGCAGGTCCGCCACCTGCCTTGTTTATCCGCTCGTCGGGCGTCTAAGGCTCTTACAAGCGGTTTTGTTTGTGGTACTGGTCATCGAGATGTGCCGACTGTCAAGCCTTGAAGTTATCTTGTTCCGGTGCCCTGGCGTCCGGCATCTGGTTGTGCAGGTGTCCCGGCAAGTCCTGGTCCGGTGTCGTGATATGGTGTTTCAGTGCTCCTGTTGCGGCGTCCCGGTGTCCCATGATCATGCGTCCCGTCGTTTCATGACCTGTGACTACCAGGAGCACAGTAGCAGCAGGAGTAGGAGTAGGAGTAGGGTAGGAACAGGAGGAGGAGTAGGCGTAGGAGTAGGAGTAGCAGTAGGAGCAGGGAGCAGGAGTAGGAGTAGGAGCAGGAGTAGGAGTAGGAGCAGGTGGAGGGGGAGGGGTAGGGGTAGGAGTCGGAATAGGAGCAGGGGTAGGAGTTGGTTGAGTTGGAGTAGGAGGAGGAGCAGTACTGTAGGAGTAAGAGTAGGAGTAGGAATAGATAAAGCGGATACTGCGCGCGCTGGCAATAGACTGTAAAGCACCGAAACCAGTAGAAACACCGATGTGATCAGAAGGACAACGTGAGGATGTATCTTATCTGCTTGTCTGGTTTCGCTGCGTGTAGGGGCCAGCTGGCATTAGCAGTTGTTGCTAGACCTGTGCATTCGGGCTGTTGGGTTTTCATTCTCGACTTAGAATCTGAGACCCGCCCACTATCTATCATCCTAGCCAGGCAGCGTTTCCTCTGCACGAGCTGGGGGACTTTGCCGATTTCTTGACGGAAATTTCCGAAGATGTCTGAGATTGCCGAACTGCTAAGTTTCGGAATCGGAGCTGTGAAGGGCTTGAAGGTCTCGGTTGAGCCGTTGAGGTACTCCTGGGTTTTTGAAGTATTGATGATGATGTTCATGTAGATATTCATGGAGCGCGTGCTAGCGGAGATGTCCTGTTGTCCTGGCAGCCTCTGTGTCTCGAAGGGTTGGCGGTTCGGTTTCCGCTTCCCCGATGCGAGTTGTTAGTTCAGGATTGCATAGAATGCAGCGCAAATTTTTGTCGAAAATCGTGCACAGCTGCAGACGTTGCAGATGGGCATCAAACGGCTCCCCAAAGCACCTTGAAAAGGAGTTGAAGCCTTTAGCGAGGTGGTACTTGAAGGTCCTTTATTTAAGGGACGGAGGCCTCGGGCCTTGCAGCGCTGCAGATTTATCCGTAGTGTTGCAGGCTCACCGCCAGTATGCCTTCGATTCTTTATTTTGGAGTGCTCCCGGTGCCGTCCTGCTTTGTGTAGCCACAGGGACCTGCAAGAGTCGCTATGCCAGAAAAGTTAGTAGGAGCGGTAGCACAAATACCACTCAGATGCAGTAGCAGCAGCAGCAGCAGCAGCAGCAGCAGCAGCAGCAGCAGCAGCAGTAGCAGTAGCAGCAGCAGCAGTAGCAGTAGCAGCAGTAGCAGTAGCAGCAGAAGCACTAGTAGCAGTAGTGGCATAGTAACAGCGACAGCACTGGCAATAGCAACAGCAATGGTGGTGCTAACAGCAACAGTAACGGTAGTATTATCAGAAATACAGGCATCAGCCGTAACAGCGACGGTGACGCCAACAGCAGTGGCAATAGTCATAGCAATATAGCAAAAGTAATGGCAATTGCAACTGTGCTTGTAATAGTACTAGTAATGGTAACTGTAATGTTAATAGTAATGGTACTGGCCATGGTAATGGTAGTAGAAGAAGCAATAGCAACAGCAACAGTAATAGTAGCAGCAACAGTAGCAGTAGAGTAAGTGTGCGCGCAGTTATAGTCACAGTCATAGCCATTGCCATAGTAATCATGATTCGTATTGACCAGCAGGGCGAGTAGGAGTTGGATTGGAAGGTGGAGCAGGGTAGCAGTAGCAGTAGCAGGTGTAGCCAGCCCCAAGCTTCAGATCATCAGTTTAGTTTTTGGAAAGACAGCAGCCGGAAGAGCTATGCTCGGCCAAATTCTGCCGAGCACGCTCGCTCCCTTCCCTCCACCGCCTTGCCGCAGATATGAGCTTCCTGCTAGAGTCGGGTCCGCTGTGCCTGAGGGCTTGGGGTTTCGGAATGATGGAAATTGAAGGTCTCCGCCAATCGCATGTAGAGGGCTCCGATAGTCGCCAGGTCTTCGCTTTCAAGCGCAATGGCCCTGACTTGGCCCCTGATTTTCGAGTGCTCTGACACGACCTTGAAATCTGATTCCTGAAGCTTGGAAGCTTGCTGGGTAGACTACGGCTTTCCATCTGGGCCAATAGGTTTCGACAGTTCAACCACCGGCGAGGCTAGAAGCAGCATCAGCAGCAGCTGCAGTAGCAGCGGCACCAGTACGGCAGTAGGCGCGACAACTGCAACCGACTTGGTTGTCGGCTTTGGTCATCCTCGCTGTCGTATGGTAGGAACAGCAGAACCAGCAGGAGGATAGGGTGCAGTCCTGAACAAACGACAGCAAACAAGGGTAGCGGAATGAGGTGATGCTTCCAGGCTAGCACTTGCATGTCTTCGGGCGTGTCCTGGAATCGACAGCCAATGTCGTGCTTTCATTGAAATGGTTAAACCGTTTCGAAAAGTCTTCTGCATGCTGCCTCAAGCCCCGTGCGCAAGACCTGGACCGTCGCTCGTTGTCAATGGTTTCTCAATTCGCAATCTCAACAGGTTCAGGACATGCAGGCTTCTGCGAAACTGGCGCCCGCAGCTGAGATTGTCGCTTGCACGTCCAAGGAAGCCCCTCGCAGACACGGTAGGATATGCGTCTCCATGCTGGCAGCCCGCAATATCCGCAATGTAGGCTCTGGACTGCAAAAGAGGGGCTCCGAGGAGATGTTTCACGTCTGAGAACCCCATGGCGGCTCAGAGCTTTATGAGCCTGGATCTTCCGTCTGAGATGGCTGGCTTGGCCGAGTCCGCGGCAAGTTTGAAAATCGCAAGCTCAGCATGAAAGCGTGAAGCCTAAAGTGCTAAAGTCTCGGTTGCCCGTCATCTCGCCCAGTGCAGTGGAGAGCCTTTGATTGCTGTGATCGATAGCTTGCACAAGCAAGTTGAACGTGTGCTGGTCGAAGTCTTCCTCAGCAGGAAAGGACTTTCCTTCCCCTGAGACACCCTTTCTTATCGGCAAGACTGGACTCTGGAACAGAAGTTCAATGGAGCTGCCTCGCGTGCAGGGCATGTGCACTTGCGGATTGCTTTGGGATCCCAGTGTTGTGTAACAGTCCCCAACATGATGCTTGCATGACTTCTTGGATCTCGTGGACTACCGGCCTCCACTGTAGACTGTAGACCAAGGTCCACTGTCGCAGTCAACTACACCACTGATCACATCGTGAGCGTGCTGCCGCGTGACTTTGTGGTCTCCAGCTCAGCATGTTCTGCGTGGCAGAAAGGCACCGCGATACACCATCGAAGTGACAACAAACACAGGTGCCCATGTCCACTGTGCTGCCAACTTAAGTTTCAGAACCTTGCACAAGGTGGACACGACGAATGCCACCCTCGGTCCTGGGCAATCCAGGCAATAAAGGGCACAGGTGTAGTGGACCTCTGAGCATCGGGCTGAATGACTAGTATGACGGTGCAGGTTGCTCAGTCTGCTGTCTGCAGGTGAACTCAGTTGAGGCGACAAGGCCACTTCAACTAATCCTGTCATGTCAACACTCTGGCTCTCTTCCCAACACATGTCTCCATGCTTGGGTTGTGCCATCTCGCGTGAAACTAGAACCGATGAAGACGACGAGCAAGAGTTCGTTTGGACGTGCTGGATATCTTCAGTCCAAATCAAGCCTTCAACCATGGATCCCAGAGCAATCACGCTGCAGCTCACAAGCTGCGGTCGCGCCGGCGTTGGAAGAAGTGAACTGGCGAACTACACATGTCGGAAACAACAGCAAAGACATTGGCGAGTCAGAATCTTCACTGTGCTTGTGTGGTTATCAGGCATACGGAGCTTTGAGCTTTGAGCCAGGTGAGTCGCGTGTATAGTGTAGGTTCCGCTGTGCCTGAGAGGCGAGAACGGTCGCAAAAGACTCATGTTGGCAAGCAAGATTCGGTAGGGAAATGGAGGCCAGGCATCTCGAATGCTTGCATGGCATCCTCCTATGATTGTGGTCCCGGTTTCTGTTCAAAAAGATGCTGTCAAGTATTCTGTTTGTGCATGTGGCTGTGTATGAGCATGTATGTATACATATACACATGCATGGTAGCCCCTGCGTATTGACCCGAAGCACCGTAGCCCGACATTGCCCACATGTGAAAGTTAAACACGTGAAGCAGCAAAAAGGCAAGCACATCCAGAACAACCAGAAGCACCAAAACACCAATCAACACCATGACCAAAACACTGAGAAAGTGTTGCCTGCACTCACGGATGGGATGGATGTCCACTGGGGACATCGTACTCGCTGGCTGTGCAACATGTGATGGAAGTGCATGTAAAGCGAGCCATCATGTGACAGATTGCAGCAGCCGTACATGTAAGCAAATGCTGCCATCAAGTTGTCGACCTCAGTTGCAAATGAATCTCTAATCTTGGCACGGGGGCCCTCTAATCTCGCTGGCACATGGGCCCCAGCTACGCAGGTACAGGAGGATGATCAGTCCTGTCTTCCCATGTCACTGGTAGCTTCGTTGGACACAGTCCCAGTGACATGCTGTGTCCCCTTGCGAAATGTTACAATGCTGTCACCTGTTCGATTGATTCAGAAAAAGGAATTGTAAAATGCATGATGACGACGAAGGGTTGTGAACCCCTTATCCCATGAACGAAGGAAGTCCACACACACACACACACACGCACACTTCGAGCCCTATGTTGAACAGATTCTTAACTGTTTTTGAGTTTGTTGTTTTTGGCTTGTTTGCTTTGTTGGTTTTTGATTCCTGTTCCTGCTCCGCCGTCATATTGCTGCTTTCCCACGTGACAATGCTCTCGGACAGGGAATCGGCATGGGGTGTTCCTGTGTCGTGGGACTCAGGAGAAAGTCGGAACTTATGTTCAATTTGTTGTTCACTGCAATGTTGAATTTTAGAGAGAAACACGTCACATATGTATTTTCTGCTAAGCTAGTTCCATACTAAACGAGGTTTACTATCCATGTATAGATATTTATGTATACATACGTCCATAGTAAGTACCCATGTGCGTAAATCTGGCTTGTAGTCATATATGTAACATGTATTCGTAGATGTGTCCATAGGTGTCTGGACTGTTCTCAAGGGTGTTTCCGCGCATGTACATACGTCCAAGTTGCCCATCTTCCCAAGATAAGTAGGCAGGTACATTGAGATGTACATGTGTGGACATGTGGATACACTGGGTTCTAAACTGTAACATACTGCACGGAAGGCCATAGCCATCCATAATCGGCTATATGCAATGTTGGTGTTTTGCTCTTATGCTTATGTGCACTTGTAACTGACAGTGTAGATTTTATGACATAGATGTTGAGTAATTCCTTGGTGCGTGCATACATGGACGGATTCCAGTAGTTTTGGCCAGCATTCTCTGTATTTCCCGAAGACAGATAAACAGATGCACATATACAATAAAATGTTTAATGTACGCATCTGTATACATATATATATATATATGTTTATATATGTGCATGCATGTAAATATATGTCGTTCTACGGCTAAAACTACATAGCCACGTGAATAAACTGCTACAGTAGACGTGCAAATCTACTGATGTGTGTATATACATAAAGAAATACATATATATATATATATAATATACGGTGCACTCTGATGGATGTGTGTATGCACAGCATGCTGATGGATAAGACTGTATTCGTGTATGTTTCTGCGTAGCAAACCTTGACAAATAACCAATGCAAGCAAGAACCAGAGAAAATCTGCTAACTACATACCCCGGCTCAAATGTAGGGAAAATTGAATGCAACAAGGCGGCATCATACTTGTGGTCGAGCCCTTATGCTGTTCCTGGCACGAACAAGCATATCACACTGATGGATTCGGCCAAGAGTACGAGTGCAAGAGGAAAAAGAGAGGTATGTTGTTGCAAAAGCTTGTCAGATTGCGGCAAACGTGCAAAGCTTTATGCTCAATCAAAAGGTGGAAACCGTAAATGTACTAATCTTGCTGCCTCAGGGGGCCAGCGTTTTCTAATCTGGCTGCCTCAGGGGGCCCAGCTTGCAGGTACACAGTTCAGCGTCCTGAACTGCTTCCCACTCCATGGCATAGCTTCGTTGCATTGGGTCTGCCAAGGAGTGCCCAATGCCCCTGCAACAGTTGATTTGGTTAGTGTCCAATGTCTGATTATGTTGAAAAGCAAAAATTGCAAACAGTGTAGGAGTGACCCTCTGCTCCCATGTGCTAGGGAGGTTCACACACACACAGCCCCAAATGGGGCGTACATGCTTCAAGTAGAGTGAAAGGTCTGATGCACGGCAATAGGAGTGTATGGCGCACTTTTCTCGCTGTCAATAGCGATCGGGTGATTGTCGTATTTCCTGATCCGAACAGGTTCTAACAAAGAGCACCGGCATCAACGTGGCTAATGTGGTGACTGAATCCCAATCATGTAGTCGTCGTCGGTTTTGCTCGAAGAAGAAAGCTGGGATTTCAGGAGTTCTGCCGGTGATCTCCTTGATGCGGTAGGAGAAGATCTTGCGTGCTTGGAGAACGTTGTCGCCCAGACAAAGCACCACGTGTAAGAACATGTGCTTGTCTCTGGTGATGCGGTCGGGTGGAATTTCAACAGTCATCCGAAAACATTGTCCTGCCATGGAGTACCATGGAAGGCCGGCCTCGGCAGCCTTTCGCTTTGTCATACTTTTGCTGCTACCAACCGACAAAAGCTTGAACAATGAATGCAAATCAACATGGACATGATGTGTGCTCTGGCAAAACAACAAAGCGGTGTCGTCCTGACGTCTTATGAGCAGGCTTTTTTGTCACGCTTAGCGGATCTTGCAGCACTAATCCGTCCTGAGAATTAGGGTCCAACAGCGAGTCTGTTGGGACAGTCACTCATGATCTTGAAATGGCAGCGACACCTGAATCCTGCACGTACCAGCATTTTTGCACAAGCGGTTTTGGACCGCTTGTGCTGAATAGTAGGATGCACAATATCGTAAGGTGCAATCGAGTCAGAAGACCAAGGATCTCGAGATGGAGACCGGTGTTGGTCCTCAGCCAGGTGTGACGTTGCCGTAGGTGATGCTGATGATGTTGAATGCGAAGAGCGTGTCCTCTTTCGTCTTGTAGTATGTGGATGTTGGCGTCGTTGCTGTGTTGTGGATTGGGATGGTGGTGAGATGTTGCGTGTTTTCTTTGTTTTCTTGACTGTTTTGTCCTTTTTGTCTTTGTTGTCTTTCTTCTTTTTTGTCCTCGTTGTGTGCTTTGTTTTTTGCTTGTGTGTGTGGCTGACTGCATGGGAGGATCTGGTGGTGTCATCCTTCCTCAAGAAGGCATCAATCTCTTCGGATCCCCATAGGCTGCTGTCGTCATCCTCGTCCATTTGTGTGCAAAGCTGTCCTAATGTGTTTCAGCAACTGTAGTTCTGAGAAATGGCTGCGGAGTCACAACTGCATTGAGGCATGTGCATACGCTGGTCTTCAGAAGAGAGAGAGAGGTACACAGAGACATCAATTGATTAACCGCGCAAACCTGCATGACCTTTCGACATGATGCTCTTAATGTTGAACTTCATCAGATATGATGGAGTTCGCAGCACAGCTTTGCTGTGTGGTTGTTGGCTGCCGGGGGCAGCAAATATGCATCTAATTGTCAACTCAGCGATGCGGCTCACGGAGTTCTTGATCGCTTTCGCTTGTTGGATGTAGGAGTTGATGTAGTAGATACTGTCTCCTTTTGGGTAGGAGTCGTTGATGTCGGACGCTGATCAGGTTGCTCCGAATGCTTTCGTATCCACTCTTGAGATGCGATAAAGTACTCTCGCCACCATGAAGAGCCGTTAGTGGCCCAATGCCATCTCCATTGTGATGCCGTCGGAGATCGCGATCTGGTGCGTTGTTCCATGGTGCTAACACAACTGGTTGTTTTTCAAAATGCTGCGGGAAAGAGTGCATCAATCGCTGCATAACAAACATATGTGAAGTGAGTGCACTGACTGTAACAATTGGCAAAAACGACTATCATTGTTTTCACCGTCCGCTGCAAAGCGCCCGATGACGGTATGAGCATGGTTGATCACCTATTGTTGCGAAGCTTCGAGTCGTTCCACTCGTTGCTTTAGCTCTGTGATCTGCCGAGTTGTTTGAAGAATAAACTCGGCTAATTGGTCGCGTAGAGCCCCATCACTGAATGTGGAAGGTTCGCTTCCAGTTTCTGAATCATAGTCCCGATGCTGTGTCAAAATCTCCATGATGGCCTCGGAGAGAGCTTCACGTCGTGCCTCATCGATGGGTGGCGAAGCTGTAGTCGCTGTGTTTGTCGGAAAAGATGCTTCACTCATGGCTCTATGTCGGGATTCCAATAGGTGTCACTCTGAGGCATAAAACTTCAGAAGGCGAAGTTATGGTGCGTATCTG